AAGGTTTGGACAGGGTTGTGGGATAAATGCAGGCAAATGGGACTAGTTTGGTTTGGGAACATGGCTGGTATGGACCAGTTGGACTAAAGGGTCTGTTTCCATGCTAAATGACTCCATAACACTACGACTGGGATAAAGATGAATTTCATCTACTGGAGTGTTGAGGACACTCAATCTTGGAGTAAATTCAAGAGAGACAGCAATAGATTTTTGGGCACTAAGAGAATTAAAGGATATGGGAATAGATTGGGAAAATCGAAGTAGAACATCAGCTTTAATCATGGAGCAGACTCAAGGGGCCTAATGTCCTTCTCCTGCCCCTATTTCATATATTAGCTGCAGTAGTTACAAAGCTCCCAAATCAATTTTCCCACCTAATACCAAAAACATTATCTGCTTTAATCATTGCTCCTCTCCTGACAATTTGCTCAGTCACAATACTGCAGAGCACCTCAACCTCAGGGTTCACTGCCCCACTCATCTCATTCGTGGGAATGTACAGCAACAGGCTTTGGCACCTGTAGCAGTGGGACTTCAGGCACTGCCTTAAGGTACGTGGCTGGGAGGCTTTGCGAGTGTAAATGCACACTGGGGCATATAACAAACTCAGCTCTCTTCTACAACACAATGGACAAGAATTGCAAGAACATCAGCCACACGGGGGAAGCTGACGACAACTCTTCAGGAGGCCCCAAAAAACAAACAAGTTGAACATGCTCCCATTTCTGCAGCAATTTTGGAACCTCAGGATGCACCAAAGTATTTATAGTCAACGAGGTACTGAGTCTTTTTTATTTTCCTTGTGTGGGATGTGGACATTGCTGGCACAACTGGCATTTATTGCTCATCGCTAATTGACTTTAATCAGAGCAATCTGTAGGCCATTTCACAGGGCAGTTAAGAGTTAACCACATTGCTGTGTGTCTGGAGTCACACGTATGCCTGACTGGGTAAGGGCAGTAGACTTCCTTCCTAGACTTCTGACTGAACAAGATAAATTTTTATTACTGAAACTACTAAAGAATTGTAGATGCTGAAAGACTGAAAGCAGAAATTGCTGGAGAAACTCAGCAGGTCTGGCAGCAACCTGATGGGGTTCTGAAGAAGGGTCACTAGACTCGATATGTTACCGTTTTCCTCTCCACAGATGATGCAAGACCTGCTGAGCTTCTCTAGCAATTTCTACTTTTGTTATAGGTTTTTATTAGACCAGATTTTAATTTGACTTAAAACACTGCTATCTGCCACGGAGTGGGAGAATTTGAACCTATGTTCCCTGAATATTAGCCTAGGACTCTGCAGTACAAACCCAGTGACTGTACCACAAAGTCACCATTTCCCTACTGCAATGTGGTCTCTGCTAAAATGTAGGAAATGTGGCAATTTGTGCACTTTACATGCCCGCAAACAGAACATGGTAGTGACCAGATTCTAACTTTTTAAAAGTGAGGAATATGGCCCAGGACACTGGGGAGAACTTCTCTGCTCTTCCTCAAATTGTGGTCGTGGGATCCTTTATCTTGTAATCTCTGGTGGGCAATGATGCAGAGTACAGAAAATGTTAACACAACAAAGCTCCACATAAACAACCTCCTTTCCACCAAACGTAGACAAAAATGGCATAATTTCGTTTGGAGCTCCTTAACCATGTGCCCTCATTGATGATATCCTATTCCCATCACAGTTCACTGCAGCGTGTCCCACTAAAAACACCATCTTTGCACACCCACTATCCCTACAGTCAGCACTGCTGACCAGAGACCATAAGGCATTCTCATCCACACTCCTGTTATCGATCCTCCTACACTAGGGAAGAGAAACTAATCATGACCCAGGCAAGGGCACATACTGTACAAAGGATGATGAACACTTTCCGCGAACAGTGGCCCTGCAGGGGTGTAAAGAACCTTAAGCACCTCAAAAAAAAATCAAAGTACCACCAACAATGCAAGATCCTTCAAATCCTGTGGCAAGAAAGGTGGTCCTCTCCCAAGTCAACCTGCCCTGCATTGAGACAGTAATCATTCCAAATCAGCCCTGTTTGAGAGACATGTCATAACTGACACCAAACTCCCAAAACAACTGGTCAACTAGGAACTTGAGTGTAGCAAAAGACTTCCAAGTATACAGCGAAAATACTTTGGGGGGTGTCCTCAAAACCTGCAAGCAGCTAAAATATCCCTGCCAACTCATGGGTGACCATGGCTTGTGAACAACCAAATGAAGAAGGCAAGGATTTGTTAAGCAGAAGTTGTGCCTAACTAACTTGCTGGAGGCAATAGAGAGGGTTTATGAGGCTAAGACCATTGATGCAGCACATATGAACTTCCAAAAGGTGCATTACAGTGCCACTCAACGGACATGTGAGTAAAGTGAGAGGTCATGAAATTAAAGGGATAGGAGCAATGTGGGAATAAAATCAGCTGAGGGGTAGGAAAAAAAGTGATGGTAAATAGGCATCTTTCTGGCTGGAGGATGGTTTAAAATGGACTTCCCCAGGGGGACAGGATTGGAATCCTTGCTTTTCCTAATATATGTTAATATCTGAATCTCACCGTGTGGGAGACAATTTCAAAATTTGATTTGATTTATTACTGTCACATGTGCCAAGATACAGTGAAAAGTATTGTTTTGTGTGCTATCCAGACAAAATCATACCTTACAAGGTGCATCAGGGTAATAGAACAGAATGCAGAATATGGTATTACAGCTACAGAGAAAGTGCAAAGAAAGATTAACTCCAACATGAGTGATCCATTCATAAGTCTGATAACAGCAGGGAAGACATTGTTCTGAAGTTTGTTGTCAACACAAATCTTGGAAAAAATGTAAACTAGGAGGAAGATGGTGTAAACCTTAAAAAGGACATTGACATGTTGGTGGAGTGAGCAGATAGGTGGCAGATGGAATTCAATGCAGCAAAGTGAGAGGTGATGCATTAGTACAAAGAAGATGGGGAAACAGTAAAAATAAGCAGTAATATTCAGAAGGGTATGCAGGAGCTCAGAGACCAGAGTATCTGTGCATCAAGTAGTTAAAAGCAATACGAGCAGGTAGAAAAAAAAAGTTCATAAAGCCATCCATTATTCTAGCCTTCATTAGCAGGAGCACAGAATACAAGAGCAGGGAGGTTATGCTGAACTTATATAGGACACTGGTTAGACCTCAGCTGCAGTACTGCATATAGTTAAGTGCCACAATAGGAGGAGGATGGGAGTCCATTGGAGAGCATGCAGGAGCCATTTACAACGATGCATCCAGGAAAAGAAACTTCAGTTATGAGGATAGATTTATGAAGTTGGGACTGTTTTACTTGGAGGAAAAAAGGATGAAGGGGGAATTGATAGAAGTTTTCAAAATCATGAGGGAGTTTGAACAGAGTACATTGATAGAAAACTGAGCCCCTTAAAGGATTGAAAACCAGGGGCACAGATTTAAAGCATTTTGCAAAAGCAGCAAACGTGAGGTGAGAAAATACTTATTCACACAGTGAGTGGTTAGGGTCTGGAAGTGTGATGGAGGCAGGTTCAAATGAGGCATTCAAGAGGGCTAGTGAATGATTACTTAAATGGAAACAATGCACAGGGTTGCAGTGAAAAAGCACGAGTTTGGTTTAAAGTTAAAATGCTTACAGAGCTGGTGTCATCACAATGGGTCGAATGGCCTCCTTCTGCATTGTAACAATTCTGTGATTCTGAAACTGGGTCTGATCTCAGGAACACAGATCACCAAACCAATTAAATATAGGAAGAATGCTGCACAATCAATGTCTGGCTGAAATGAGTTGAGATGCAAAAGGAAATTCACGAAAAATGGTTCAAAGATGAAATTCCTTTGTGTTACTGTGATGAAATGTTATATTATTATTCCATTCCTTTGTGTCGCTCAACATCTTGTCCCAGGTTCAGGAAATTTATTGTGTTTCAACAGATACAGGTTTCTCTTGTGACTCTGTGGAAGTGTTGACTGGGAAGAGGCACATCTTCCCCATTTATTTTGTGCTTTCCTGCAAGTCTTCCATATTTCACCTGTTCCACTCTTTCCTTCACAAACTGCTTATTTTCCCATGAAATCCAACCGGTCTCAGCAAAACGAAATGGCACACATTTTAACATTGTTGCCTTACTCACACAGCAGTGTAAGAGAGAGACAGATATGTGCAGGCGGGCAGGCAGGGTGTGTGCGTGCGCGCGTAAAGAGACAGACAGATGCGCGAGACAGACAGACGCTCGTGCGCAGCCTGGCCGAGCGCGAGACAGACACA